TGCAGTGAAAAAGCACCCCCCCCTTTCCCTCCAACACAGAGAGTCCTAACGCTTCTTTCCCTCTTACCTCTCCTCTCACACATCAGTTTTCCGTCCGTCGGTATCTGTCCGGTCGCTCCAACTGGTTTACTCGGACGATCTCACTTTCTTCCCCGTTCATTTCATCGGACGACGTATCGTTGTTACCAACGTGAAAATTCGCGAGTAAGCATCGATTTTTCCGACGAGACTTACTTGTTCAATTCCTAATGCTTAATAAGTTCACTTAGACTTTCGAAAAAGCGGCAGGGTGGTCTTCCTACTGTGTACGATTGGCTGAGTCATAAAATTGTTGCACGTTTGCAAAAAATAATCTGTCCTCGGAAATGACTGCTAAAGTTCCCTAGTGTTCGGGAGAGACAGAGATGGTGTGGCGAGAGCTCTAAGGCAGGGCCAGCTTATTTTCCAGCGGAAAGCATAAACTTAGTAATGTTTTAGTCTGCTATGTGCCCCGAGAAGTCTGCACTTAGCTAAGTAGCTGTTTTTTGCGAAGCAGGGAGATAACTGTTAACAAGGCTGGTGCGAGTGCGCGTAGAGACTATTTTGTAGCCTATGCTAGGATTTTGTGGCGCTACTGACTAAAATTAATATCTGACCGCCTAGAGAGCGAAATGTCAGCGACGAGAACTGCTTTGCATGCATTACGACCGCTTTTCCATGCTGCATTTTTTGTGGGTCATTTGATAGCAGAAGGCACATTTTCAAAAGTCCCCCCAACACATTAAGTTTGCCTGCAACTATTTAAGTCGATGAAAGTTGATTTTCGGGAAAGCAATCGTGCCTAAAATTGAGAATACTCAAATTGGGCTGATGAGTGACCATTTCTGTCTCATTAGCCGTCATCAGCCGTTCCCTTCTCTCCTGTCTTTGCTTATACTACTAGCCGCCGTGTGACTGCTAGCAGTGGTCAAGAGCGAGTTTCGAAATAGAACGGGACGAGAAAGTTGCGCTAGCGATCGGTGTTTGCATATCCGCAAACACCGACCAATTTTTCGCCGGAATACAGAAGTTGGTGCAGATTGCAGACTTAGCCCGTAGTCATAATATCCGGTCAAAAGTTCTACGAAATAACCAGACAACATCCAGGGAAGAACAATACAAAAATCCATAACCGATCCGTTTTGTGAAAATAATGTGCTTGGATTTCAAGATAGAGTCTGACATTTTTTAAACTTCTTTACAAAATGTCATTAAAGACTTTCCATTACGGACACTAGCGGAAGAGGCAGCCTTCTTAAAGAGATTTAATGGAAAGGATTCAGCTGTTTCAAATAAAAATTCTCTTAGCCAGACATTTTTGAACACATATTTAAACTAATAGTGCCGAGACAGCAACAAATTGCAGTATGACAAACTATTACTATACGATTGCTCACAACAAATTCCTCTGCCTGTTCGTGCTCGGATTTCCCCATACACGTGGATAGTTAACATCATGACAACAGGTCAGTACTGCCGCGGAAAGCAGGGTTTGCCGACAGAATCTACGCCTGACTCATTATTCGGTTCGTGTAAAAGCTTCCGCGCCCAGTGAGGATACAACAAATAATGACGTTCCCTGATACATCGTTAAGTGCAGGCCATCATCAGCCTTCTCATGTCACTTGCAGTTGGGGTGGCACATACGGCAAGACCACCGGCCACGTCACACAAAAGAAGCTTGGAGTTCTCTAGCCTACCTGGTGCGGTTGCAAACGAAGCAACTATGATGGATGGACTGGCCTGTCACTTTGGACGCAGCAGCAATCAGGAGGGCAGACGCTAACTGTTAAACCGCGAATCAGTCACCAGGACCTGACCGACGTTCTCGAGTGAAATGAGCAGGACTTTCCTGAAGAATAATGATCCGGTTTGTGGTCTGCCAAAAAAAAACAACTGGCCACGATCTCTCTTCCCTAGTATGTGCTATGTTTGAGCAGACTAATTCGTTATAAGTGGGATTTCTGGCTGAGTCCTCTTTCTACAGACAGTACTTATTTAGAAAAAGTAGACGTGATCACTCACAGAATAATTTGTTATTTGCATGACATTTCAAAATCCGTCGTGGATCAAGCATTAAAGACAATAACAGAAACGAGTTATTCGTACACAGGGACTCGCTGTGTTCACCCTTTTTAATTTCCTGAGAAATTAATCTCTGTTCGCGGTATACATCAGTTTATTTAAAGTCCATAGGCGTAGTGTTTATAGGATAGGATAGGATACCGTCACTATGCCACTGCACATTTGTGACAATTAATGGCTCCCCTATCGAGGCTAGTTGTCTGCTTGTGCGCTAATTGCTTGATGGCCGGCGCGTGAGCCACGACTGGCTGAACTTTCATCACACGTGGGGGGATTAAGCGTGATGACAACTCGGCCATCTGGTGCCCTGGTGCTGGCGTTAGACGACGCGTTAGCTTTTGCGTTCCTCAATGCATGACTTGATTTGACCAAATCGAGCCTCAGCATCGAATATGGATTGGGCAGGCCGTTGCACTTGTTTAAAAACTGGGGACCCGTGAACCGTGACTGACGTAGATTGCGACTCATACCATTCTCCTCGAATGCGACGCAACTTGAGAATTGATGCCACTTCTGCGCACTAGTGCTGTGTGTTCGGTAATTCGCGTCTTGAGAAGTCTTCCAGTTTCTCCGACGTCGTTGCCTTGCCCGCAACTACACCAGATCCTGTAGATGACTCCAGATGCTTCTTACAATGGCAGTGCATCGTTTGATTTGATTACCAGACGCCTTGTGATAGCCTCCGGCCGGTGTGCGATTCCGCCTCCAAGTGGCGCGTAAAGGCGTCTGACGGTCTCGAAGACGTTTCTGGAGTTCGGAATCACCCACAAAAATTTGGAGTCGGTGCGATTTTGTTGCTCATCCTGTTTGTGTGTGTACCGGCTACCTGCGGCAGCAGTGCGGAGAAATGAGGCCAAGTTTCAAGTTGCGGCTCATTCGACAAGACCCGGCCGCATATTAACATTTCATAAAGCCAACATTCTCGGGGCAGGGGACAGTCGTGTGCGTTACGAGTTACTTGAGTCATCTTTCACGGGCCCCCTGTCTATAAACAAGAGCAACGACCTGCCTAATCCATATTTGGTGTTGGAAATTAATTTGGTCATTCAAGTCATCACTTGGGGAACGCACAGGGCTACGTGTCGACTAATACCAGCACCAAGGAGTCAGATGGCCGAGCAATCATCACACGCATTTCTCCCACTTGTGGTGAAAGTTCAGCCAGTCATGGCCCGCATGCCGGCCATCAAACAATTAGCGCACAAGCGGGCAATTATCCTCGATATGGAAACCAGTAATTATCATAAGTGTGCAGTGGCGTAGTGACTGTATCCTATAAACACTGCAAGTCCCTGTGTATGAATCACCCGTTTCTGTTACTGCCCCTATGATTGATTCACAACGGATTTCGAAACGTCGCGCGAGTAAAAAATGGTCGTGCCAACAATCACATCTACTTCTTTTCCATTACTTCCTGGGAATTGCATATTCGCTTGTGTCGACAGCACTGATTCTTCACATTTTCGAGTCATTGCCGTACCATTCACTGGCATTGAGTTGCAATCCCAGCCGTTGACGGCTTGTATGTAAACGGCGAATTAGTTATGACATCAAGAAGGAGCATCTGTGAAGGATAGGAAAGCTAATTATCCCGTTAGTGAACCCGCGGAGCAAGCGCACACAGCAGACCACTGCATCCTCTTGAAGTCGGTCAGGCAGATATCTGTCCTTTGGCCAGGGTTGATAAAAACCGCTACTAGTATCCACGGGGGGCCGGAACCGTAAAGCCGGCTGACAACGTCTGTTACCTCGCTACCCTTTGTAGGGTCGGCAGGCGTGTTGTAAATTTAGGGTGATTACCGACCCCTATTGCATCAGCGTTATTAACCGGCACGCCGTGAGAGCGTTTCTGTATGGCTACTGCAGATCTTAACGGCACAGTGTCTGCTAATGTGACCTCATCAAGTATTCAGCAACATAGATCACGTCTACAACGACGCGCCTACGATGACAGCCTACTTCTATTGTTGATTCGTTCTGCCTTAATTAGCTCTGAACACTGACTTTGTTTGGCCTGCAGGCTTTCTTCTACTACCGGTTTCTATCACCTGTCCATGCACCGTTGGTGACGAGACATGTAGGCAGCCAGCAGCAGGCACTGCTATTCGCGATTATCCCTCCAAACATATTTTGTGCGAACAGCCGAATCGGCGCATCGTCCGTTATGTTGTCTTGTTGTTTCTATCATGGCAGCACGCTATCCCGCAACACCAGAATTGACGGCCAGATTGCTTGTCGGATATCCAAAGCCAGTCAAGCCTTCGGCCGGCTTCAAGCCTCCACGTGGAGCCGTCACGATCTCCAGTTGTCCACGAAACTGAAGATTTACAAGGCCGGCTTCCTCATAACCCTCCTCCACGGAGCGGAGACTTGGATCGTCTCCACTAACCAAGCTGGGAGGCTAAACCATTTCCATCTCAGCTGGTCTAACCGAATACTGAAGTTGACGTGGCAGGACACGATCCCGAGACGGAAGTCCTTGAGAAGACTGGACTTGTCAGCATTTAGGCCATGCTGAGGCAGAAATAACTGTGATTGAACGGCCGCCTGGTACGGATAGACGACCAACGACTACCAAAGCGACTGTTTTACGGTGATGTTGCGGTGGATGCTCGCCGCAAAGCAGGAGAAAAGAGGCACTACAAGGAAATTCTGAAGAACTCCCTGAAGCGTCCTGAAATCGACCTAGTCAGAACTCGTGCAGAACCAATCTGCTTGGCAAAGGACGGTAAAAACTGGTGCATTTATATACGAAGCCATATAAATTGTCAAGGCAAAAAGGACGGTTCGAAAGTCTTAACTCCAACGGAAGCACGCTGTCAATGCCCTGGCCCTTCCAAACTGTCCGCGATGTCAACGCACCTTCCGTACACGTATCGGCTTGGTCGGTGGTCTCCGGACGCAATTTACCGTCCCTCCGATGGTATCCACTTCTACGGCGTCGAACACTCTAACAGTCCCCGCTGTGTCCAGCACTTCGACGACGACGACGACCATCATCAAGAAGCTCAGCTGTCCGATACATCGCTGTCATCATCCGCCAACACCATCCACCTTACTGCAGCCTCACCTCCTCCGACGCATCACCGCCTGTCACCACCCTCCTCATCACATTTAAACCATATACCAGCACTGGGGGCTCGAGTCTAATCTGCTCCACTGCACATTCACTTCACACAGCGGCGTAGTGGGTCACTTGCGAATCCATCGCAAAGGGCATGGTGAACCAGTGCCCGGAACACCGTCACATAGAGGCGACCACCGTCTTCACTGCCCACACTGCCCCCGCGCATTCATCCATCACATGCGCCTACTAGGTGACATGCGCATAATCGACAGCGATATTCACCGGGAAGTGGACACACTCAGCACATCCTACACTCCCCCCCACCAGCTCCAGCCCCATCCACTCATCGCCTCGCCATCACCAAGATAAGGATCCGTCTTCAAACAGACCGGGAACCTCAAGGTGCGTATGTATGTATGTTTCTTCAGGTACGTTGCATACTGTTTCGTTGAATTTATCTGTCAATCATCTACATTATTATATTTGTACTACGATGTCACTGCTAAGTATGATTACTGGTATTGGCACCACTAGTATCTAAATACTATTGCTTACAGCAATAACTTAGACTTAGCTCTCTAACAATATCAACTTTGCTATTTTCTCCTTGTTTTCATTTTTAGTACTGTTGATCCTATTGGCGTTCGTATAACCAGTACTACTTAACTTAACCTTACTTAAGTTGTCTGCAAAATCACCCACATTATTGGACTTTATCATGACGTCTTCTGTACTGGCACTACTAAGTATGAGTACTGGTACTATCATCAGTGGTATTAGAATAATATTGCTAACAGCAGTAACTTAGTACTAGCTCTTAGGCAACATCGGTTTTTTTATCTGCCACTTGTTGTCGTTTGCAATCCTATTGATCTTATTGTTGATAGTGTTAGTAGCCCTATTAACCACAGTCATAATCACAGCAGTTGTACCTTCAATCTAGCTTTTTATCATTAACGCAAGCTCCTCCATCGAAAGGTTTAGCACGCCCTGAAGATCCCCTACTGAAGACACTGCCAACTGACGCATTTATTGGGTACACCATCAGCCCAGTGTGTGTTGTATGTGAAGTGGCTGATGAGTGACACTGGGAGTCAAGGGGTGTCGGCTCCTTCTAATCCCCAGGTAAAGTTAATCCGGATGTGCGTCAAGCGGACCAGGTCGGGCTGTCGAGTGCGCAGCATGGGTTCTCCGGTACCGTCTAACAATGCGCCAATCCCACACCGGGCGACCGATCAGCTAGGCGGTGGCTTGTTGCTGGTGGTGGGAGAGTGAGTGAGGTCAATCCTCAGTGCACTACTTTCTTCACTATAAACAATCTGGCGCACTCGGAGCTATCACGATGCGCTAAAAGCCGCGGCTTGGAGGGCTACCAACTGACGGGATAATTAGGACACCGCAGTCAGCCAAGCATGTCCCCTATTATGTGGAATGGTTGACTGGCGGGCTGAAAGTCAGGCTGCAATGGCTCCCTCTTCATGTGGCCTTTATGGCGCTCCCGCGCACGTGGTAGCCTACCTAGCAAGGTGTGGTGTTGGTTTGCGTACTGACTGTTGGTCGCGCCAGCCGGCTGTGCCCTCCTTTATTTCCCGTCTTCTCGACTTTTGTCTTGACTTCGGAAACAGGTGTGGGAGTGGTAAGGGAGTGGGGTAGATCCAGCGAGTCTACTTTCAATACAATTCAACCATAGTCAACGCATCTGCCTTCAGCATGCTGAAGCTCGTGGTGGACATCGTCGAGAGTGGTCGTCGAACTGTCGTCAGGTGGCTTTATCCGAGGATATCTTCTTGGGCTAAATCATTGAGCACTGTTATAAGCGTATTCCATCGAAGCGTTTGGTTAAAAAACGAGCAGAATGCGTAGAAATTGCAAACTTCTCTCATATTAAGAAGAAAATATGTGAGACAATCGAGTGCAACAAATATCATGAATAGTGTGTAGCTTTTGACTAAAAATTATATCTTGTGAAAGAATTGTACGTCAAGATTAGTACTTAACTGCAGATATGTCCTCTTTGAAACTCATTCTAATAGGGCTGCAATATATCCAGTGGATTGTCACACTTTATCCTAGATCAGAAATTTGTATGTCGTCTCCATGGATCAGCTTTTTGGAAAAATAAAATTGCCAAAAGCTTTGTAATTTGGTATTCACGAAATGCAGGAAAGAAAATTATGGATAAAAGCACTGCGGAATTTTAGTAACTATGACCAGCGATTCTGTTACAGAAAAATAATCATATTAGGTGGATAAAATGGTCATTGATGCTGTTTGTATCTTTATTGCAGCTAAAATGGAAGTCTGTGACTTAATTACATACGAACCTCCCCCGTTCAGGACATAAGTTATACGATGGACGATGTCTATACCAGCTAGTGTAGGATACGGTGCTTGGGGTACTTCCCTCAGGTAGGTACGACACGAGAATGGTCACTGATTCCGGTTTGCAAAAAAATACTTTACCGAAACCCCAATCCATCATGTCTTCCGGCCCTACAAAGCAAACCAGACTAATTATAGGGAAGTGGAAAGAAGGTTATACTTTAGCTGTTATGTGAACTCGTTCACTGAGCAACCCACTCAAATATGGAATTGGCTTGTCATCCAATTAGGGCACGGAATGGTTACTTCAAACATCAACTTATGGGATTAAGTCGCGGTCAGTAATTGCAGTCAGTGAAGAGGGAAGGTAAAAGTGGAAAGGAAGTTGGCAATTGCAGATAGGAAAAGACATCCTGAGTAAATCATGCTGGTTTATCCACTGAATTCCTACAATCCTTCCCCTCTAACACATTTATGCACATGCCATTGAGTATACTATGCTGTTATATGTATACTTTTTCTGCCACCGTCTTCATCGTCAGAAAGGTCTGCAGCAAAATGTTGCTCGGTATTTTTCCAACCCCAATCAAAGTGAGAACTTATAGTCAGACATTGTAGAATGGACCGCTAATTAACTTTGGCGCAACTGTTTCTAGACATACTATCGGATTGTTCAGATGTTCTCGCGAACATTTAACTAAGCTTATAGCTTTCCTTCGAAATTTCGCTATCTTCTTTTATCAGACACTCATTTTTCCTTTAGAATTACCTCCCGAAGTATATAAATAGATGTGTTTTATTTACATACGTGACGATTCATATGAACCCACTATTAATTCCGTTATAAAAAGGGCAACGAACCATTTTTCATGCTAACAGTTGCCCTCGGGTTGAATCCTATCATAATTGGAATTATATTTTTAGACTGCTCCATATTCTGTAGGCTAAATCATAGGTCGGAGTCCATTTTGCCTGCATTTCAGTCAAATGATTTGATATTATACACTTAGCTTATTTTTCACTTGTTAAGTTGGCTTATTCGATCTTATTCTCTCGACAGCGAATCTCCCAACCAGCTGCCTGCTTTAGATGAAGTGATGATTTAGACCCAGTTGAGTTTTTTTGTATCAACTGCATGAAAGTTAACTTGACAAAATAATCGTAAGTAGGGAATAGCAAGACGAAAAACTAACATGCGTTCACACACTCGGAGCTGCTCATTATGAAAACAGCGAGTATGCAGTGAGTGGAAGGCTAATTGTTATGCGTGGAAAATCCTGCTTTTTAATTAGACTAGTTGGAAATGGTTGATCGTTTGCTGATAAACTAACCCTCATAGTGTGTCAAGGGAGCAATATAATGGTAAGGATGACTTGTCTAGCCAACTTAAAAGGGCATAGGAACAGGAAACATCCACAACACATATGGCTGTCCGCCAAATGCCTGGGAATTTAGAATAAGACTTAATGTTTAGGGTCAGGATTATGTTCAGGGTCAAGGTTTGGATTCGTCATGGCTCTAGGGTTTAGAGTAGGCTTAGAACTAAAGTAAAGCTTCCCGTTTAGTCTTATCTCAGGGTTAGTGTTAGGTTAAAGCCATATGAAGGCCATCTATTTTAAGTGAGCTGGGCGTTCCCATTCTCGTATCCTATTTACGCGACAATGAAAGTCGTCCTTACTAACAGCAATTTCGCCGAAGCACACTGGGGCAAACTTTACTGGAAGTTCTTCATGTGGCGTTGTACAAAAATTGGTGTTAACGATGCCGCTGAGTAGGTTTTATCAGGATATACTTCCAAAATGTGGATAAACCCGCCCTGTCTCTGTCTCAGCTCCCATACGGAAGATAGAATCTTCCTACGCAGCCCTGCGCAGGTCAAGTGCTGTTTAAGCGTCTTATTTGGCAAGGATAACCTTAATGGAAATGCGGCATTCTTTTGAAAATGTGGCCTCTAAACGACGACCTACTTTGGTTGCAAACGACAATAGTCGTCTAGCGATGTTATCTAAATAGTTGTATGGCTTTTTTGCATTCACATTTGGACACTACTTAAAGGACTACAATTAAGAACGTCGATGTATCCCCATGGGCTGCCTAATTAATAGGATATAGTCGCTAGGCTATTATACACCTCCCGAACTGCAAATCGCTATTTTGAATCACCCATATAAGCTTAAATGTGGATCTCACTAGGTAACGGAGAAGTATTTGCAGTCTCCGCTCGAGTCATGATGTAAGGCTCCCACAACAACATGCCCTGTAAATATTACGTATGCTGCAGTATAAAATCAAATTGGGGGGATCCTTACAGTCCATTGAATAGAGAGATTTCCAAACTTTAATTTATTCTCATCAGATTTTTGAAGCTCAGATAACTAACCCTTCTTTGAGTGCCCATACTTCAGAGGCTAATGTCGTAAAACTATGCATTTTGCACCAACCCCTCATTTGTAATGGGGTGAAATGTAGGCAGATTAATATTGCCAGAAGACTGGAATGGCCATTTATGGCCTACTAGTCGCCGTCATCCGGCTGCACTCAAACCTAGGTGGTGCACTACCCGAGGATCGAATCCGCGACCTTTCGATCAGAAATCCGATGTTCTAACATGTGACGTATATTAACATTCTTTGATGAAAGCTCACTGATCGCTAGCGAAACTCACTCGTCCCGTTCTGCCTTGGGGGTCACTCTCGATCAGTGAGCGTTGATCAACGAATTTCAATATTCCCGAAAAAACCGGCAAAACAACGCGCTCATGGCTCGGTGTTCGTAGCGCTTGACTTCGGATTAACAGGTCGCAAGCTGCTTCGTATTGGTGGATTCCATACGAGCGGTAAAGTTGGGTGGGTAAAATCGACCCAAGTGTGATTAAATTCATGGCGTGATGTGGAGCGTTTGTAGCTCAAGTGATTAGAGCATTGGCTAACGGCGAAGGCCTTCTCTTTTATGCGGGTTGAAATGCCGCCGAACGCCCTGAATATTTTCACAATTGGGTCAACTCAAGTTATAACATAGCCTCAAGCGCGAAATATTAAAACTAACTACGCTGTTCGCATACTGAAGCTAACTTTGAATCTCTAATTTATTTGTGTCCATCTAGCAAACTGTTTGATTGTAACACTGGTCTTCGAACATGATTTCCATAATAACATATTTACTTTTGATATTACATTTTATAGTTATAAAGCGAGAGGTTTGACTGTCTTA